ATGTTCTTAATTAGACTCTTGAGCTCTACCAGTGTTGTTTTCATTCAAACATACTGTCTGTCTGTTTGTTTTTGTGGTAAGAAAAAGGCTGTCTTTTCTACTTTGCCATATTTCTGACATCACTAATATGGTCTTTTTTTCTTTGTATCTTGTAATATTTTTTGGCTTAAAGCCCTTTTTCATGTGATATTGTATACCTACCCTTGGTCTTTTAAAATTACTACTTGCTTGGAATAACTTTTTCCATCCTTTCACTTTCAGTCTATTTACCTTTGGTTATAAAGGGAGTTGCTTATAGATAGCATAAAAAATAGATGATAAAGGGGCTTTCAGGGAAGATGGCAGAGTGGGAGGACCCTAGGCTCACTTCTTCCCGCAGATAAACTAGATAACACTCACATCAGTGTAATAACCTGGAAAATGACCTGAAGACTGGCAGAATAAACTCCACAACTAAATGCAGAGAAGAGGCCATGTCAAATAGGGTAGGAAGGGTGGAGACACAGTCAGGAACTAAAGGGGCTCCTGAGACTGTCTGCGGGAGAGAAGGAAGGCTTAAGCATGAAAAGGGGAGTGAAACAAACCCCACACTAGGAAGTTTGCACAGAGAATACAAAACCCGCATATCATTTGCCTTTAAAAACCAGAGGGGCCAAATTTCATGAACTCTTATAACTTCAGGACTTAAAACCTGAAATTTTTAAAAATCAGCAGGTTCAGCTCTGGAAGAGCTGGTGGACAAGAAGAAACTGAGTACCTACCCTTAAATAAACAGCGCAATAAACAGCCTGAGAAGATACAGTATAGAAGCAGCAGTTTGAAAGGTGCCTGGGACATATGGGAGGGAGTTATTTATTAATCTCAGAGCATGTCCTGGAGGGACAGAACTAACAAACAACTCCAGAAACAAAGGAGCTAGATGCCATTTCTTTCCCCAGCACTAGAGTTGGACTTGCTATGTAAATTGCTAGCAGTGCCACTTAAATCCTCCATGCATTGCTTCTGCCAGTTCACTGCTCCAGATACCCCATCTCAGTCTGTCACTGCAGGGCCCCTCCCACAGAGGACCACAGGCACACAAAGTTTGCTGTCAACACAGTGACACCAACCAATACCTCCTTCCCCCATGGTGCTCCAGTAGATGTGCACTCTTCAATATGCTTTTGGCCAAAGCCCATACAGGATGATGCCACAGGTCTGGTAGTGTGCAAGCAGCTCCTATAATGGCTAGCAGCACACCAAAGTGTGTGCCTTAGGAGAGAGGGAAAGATAACCACAAACACCACTTGGACTAAGGTCTCAGCAGATGGCTAGAAGCAGACTATTGGTCTGACTTCAGGCTTTGCCCACCAGTGAAGGCTTCTCAGGGACAACATGGGGAAAGCACCCAGAAGTTACATGCTATTGCATCTCTGGCAAATGCCTGTTCTGACTTAACTTAAGCTCAAGGCATCCTCATATTGCCCTGCACCACAGGGAGAAAGAGCTACTGACAAAAGGCAAAGAACCAATAGGGATGACAGGACTGAGGGGAAAAGGTAGCTTAGTCACAGTGGCAGAGTGTGTGAATTACACATAGGAGACATCCCTGAAGTGCCAGGTTCTGAACAGGGGATAGTGCACAGTAGGGCACTATAGGACTCTTCTCCTTAAGGCTATTACTTTCAAGTGCAGGGGACAGATCTGTCTTTCCTAACACAGAGAAACAGATACAGAGAGTAAGGCAAATGAGGATACAGAGGAGTATGTCCCAAAAAAAATAACAGAATTACAGTAAGAGACCAAAGTGAAACACAGATAAGTAATTTGCCTGATAGTTTTTTTTTGCCTGATAGTTTAAAGAAATGATTATACTCATTGGGCTTGAGAAGAGTGGAAGACATCAGTGAGACCCTTATGAAAGATACAGAGCACACATAAAAGAACCAGAGATGAAGAATACAATACATGAAATTTAAAATATATTAGATGGAATATATAGTAGACTGGATGAGGCAGAAGAATGAGTCAGTGATCTGGAGGAGAGAGTAATATAAAGTAATCAAGCTGAAGTAGGCGAGAGGAAAAAATGTGCAAAACAAGAATAGACTTAAGGAGCTCAGTGGTGCTATAAAGTATAATAACATTTGATCCCATATGGATCCCAGAAGAAGAGAGAAAAGGGGAAGAAAATTTATTTGAGGCAGTAATAGCCTAAAATTTCCTGAATTTGAGGAAGAAAACAGAAATCCAGATTCAGGAGGTAGAGAGATCCCACAATAAAATCAACCCAAGGAGGTTCACATCAAGATCAACTCAAGAAAATTTATTTGAGGCAGTAATAGCCTAAAATTTCCTGAATTTGAGGAAGAAAACAGAAATCCAGATTCAGGAGGTAGAGAGATCCCACAATAAAATCAACCCAAGGAGGTTCACATCAAGATAAGATGGCAAAAAAAGTAGTGAGAAACAGAATTTTAAAAGCTACAAGAGAACAGAAGACAGTTACATAAAAGGGAACCTTCATAAGGCTATCAGCTGATTTTTCAACAGAAACCTGCAGGCAAGAAGAGAGCGGCATGATACATTCAAGTGCTGAATGGGAAAATTTTGCAGCCAAGAATACTCTATTCAGCAAGGCTATCATTCATAATATAAAGAGATAGTGTTTGCTCAAACAAAAGTTCAAAGAATTCATAAAGACTAAATCAGTCCTGCAAGAAATTTTAAAGGTGAGTCTTTGAGTGGAAAGGAAAGACCACAAGCAAGAGTAAGGAAAGTAGGAAGCACAAAAGTAGTAAAAGTAAGTATATGTGTAAAAATCAGTAAAGGGACTCCCAAAATAAAAGAATGTAAAGTGTGACACCATATACTTAAAAAGTGAGGAGGAGAGAAGTCAAGAATGGGTTCAAATTTAACCAACCATCAAATTAGTATAGACCACCATATACAGAAGATCTTATATATAATCCAAATAGTAACCAAAAATTAAAAAAACAGTAATAGATATGCAAAAGATAGAGAGAAAGGAATCAAGGTTTATCACTAAAGAAAGCCAACTAATCATAAGAGAAAAGAGCAAGGTAAGAAAGGGATACAGAAAAAAACTACAAAAATGATAAAACAAGTAACAGAATGGTTATAATAAATACATACCTATCAATAATTACTTTGAATGTAAATGGACTAAATGATCCAATCAAAAGACATAGGGTGACAAAATGGATTAAAAAAGACCTATCTAGGGGATCCCTGGGTGGCGCAGCGGTTTGGCGCCTGCATTTGGCACAGGGCGCGATCCTGGAGACCCGGGATCGAATCCCACATCGGGCTCCCGATGCATGGAGCCTGCTTCTCCCTCTGCCTGTGTCTCTGCCTCTCTGTCTCTGTGACTATCATAAATTAAAATAAAAAAAAGACCTATCTAAAAAAAAGACCTATCTATATGCTGCCTATAAGAGACTCATCTCAGACTTAAAGACACATGCAGATACAAATTGAGGGGATGGATAAGCATTTATCAGGCAAATGGATGTGAAAAGAAAGCCAGGATAGCAATACTTATATCAGAAAAAAAGACTTTAAAATAAGGACTGTAACAAGAGACAAAGAAGAATATTATATAATAATCAAGGGGAGAATCCAATAAGATATAACAATTGTAAATATTTATACACCCAACAAGGGAGCATTCAATACTTAAAGTAGCCAATAATAAACATAAAGGAAGTAATAGATAGTAATTGTAGGGGATTTTCACACCCCACTGATATTGATCACAGATCATCCAAACAGAAAATCAACAAGAAAACAGTGTCTTTGAATGACACACTAGACCAGAGAGATTCAACAGATATATGTTCAGAGCAATCCATCCTAAAACAGCAAAAAAAAAAAAAAAAAAAAACCAAACAGCAAAATACACATTCTTTCCAAGTGCACATTGAACATTCTCCGGAACAGATTACATATTAGGCCACAAAACAAGTATCAACAAATTCAAAAAGATCAAAGTTACACTGCTCATCTTTTCTGACAATAACGCTATGAAACCAAAAGTCAACAAGAAAAAAAATCTGGAAAGACCAAGAAGCAAGAAAAATCTCAAGGGACCAACTTTCCATCTAAAGAAACTAGAAAAAGAGGAACAAACAAAACAAAACAAAAAAAAAAAAAAGAAAGAAAGTTAAAAATAGAACTATCCTACAATCCAGCAATTATACTGCTAGATATTTATCCACAGCATACAAAAGCACTGATTTGAAGAGGTACATGCACCCCAGTGTTTATAGCAGCAGTGTCTTCAGTAGTCAAAATATGGAAAAAGCCCAGATATCCACTGACAGATGAATGGATAAAGACGATGTGGTATATATATGACTATTACTCAGCCTACAAAAAGAATGAAATCTTACCATTTGCAATGATGTGGATGGAACTAGAGGGTACTATGCTAAACAAAATCAGTCAGAAAAAGACACATACAATATGATTTCACTCATATGTGGAATTCAAGAAACAAAACTGCTGAACAGAGGGGAAGGGAGAAGAAATTAAAAGAAGATAAAAATAGAGAAGGAGAGAAACCATAAGAGACTCTTAACTATAGGAAACAAACTGAGGGTTGCTGGGGGGGGAGGTGGGTGGGGAGATGGTATAAACTGGGTACTTGGTATTAAGAAGGGAACTTGATGGGATGAGCACTGGGTGATATGTGCTACTGGGTGATGAATCACTAAATTGTACTCCTGAAAATAATAATACAGTATCTGTTAACTAAATTGAATTGAAGTAAAATTTTTTAAAAATAATTATATCACTAATTAAAATAGTGGTTTCTTAGTCTTCAAGTATGTATGGCCAGTGAATTTGCAATAGAGTATCCTACCCTTAATTTACCTTTATCATTAAGAGTCCTTCTTAAAGATTACCCTAATCTCTCCTGTAAATGAAAGTTATTTGCTTTTTTGCATTTCTGCCTTCCTGTTTTTTAGCCTTTAGGAAGCAACCAGTATTCTTACCTTCTGATTTGGCTGTTGTGGGAGTGTAAATATGGACTTCCAGTAGGTCCAGGTAAAGAACACAAAGATGGCATGGTAGAATATGAGGTAGATAACTGAAATTTAAGAGAAAAAATTCATTGTTTATACTATCATTTTTGTTTATATCTAGGGGTTCAGAAAGACATAACACTAAACAACAAATTTTGGTTTTGTTTTCCTATTACCAAGTATTTTCTAGTATTATTATAAAATGTTAATTCTTACCTTTTTTCCCATGCAGTGATAGAAAAAGTTACAGTGCTAAATTTTCAGTGAGACCTTCTGGAAGTTGCATGTTTTTAAAGTTGCCATGTGATTATAAAAATAAAGGGGAAATGTTTTTTTAAAACAATGTGAGGGAAGCTCCCATAGCCACTTATTATCTCTGCCATTTTAGTTGCTAAAAGATGATAATGATAATATTTGCACAACACTATAGAGTTTACAACGTGATTTCATGATATTATATATTTTTATTGTTTCAATAACTTTGTGAGATAGGTAATAGGATAGGGAAAGTTGGTTAACCATCAGGAGAAGTTGACTATCCAAAGTGATACACCTATTATCTAATGTAATCTGGTCTTAAACACAGTATTACTGTCTATAAACTGCAAGATCTTTTCAGTAGCCTCAAAGACTACATATTTATTTTTTGTGAGCAGTCTGGACTCATATTTATTGAAGCCAGTAATGAGAGACATCTTTTCCAGCACTAGAAAGCAAGGTTCCACATGACTGCATAACTGCATCTGGTTAGAGCTTCATTCCTGGACTAAGACTGGTGGAGGAATAATCTGCAGTCCTAATTTTACATTAAAAATACCAATAAACTTAGTATAAAGATGACAATGAACTTTCACTTGCAGCATCAACATGGTTAAGGTCATTATGTACAGACCAGATACTTTCAACTTTGTTAAACTAATAAAACATGACAGTATCTTCAGATTATATACTTTCGAATTGTGAGTTGTATCATTGCAATAGTTGTAGAAGTTGGTCCATAGCTTATCTTTTTATACTCTTTTTATAGCACTTTTGATATCAAAAGTTTCACTATTCTACAGAGGCCATTATAAGACTGATGGTCATTTCACTATTTCATTGTAAGTCCTTGTATGGCGAGGTGTTATTATCTCAGTCCATCAGAAAGACCCAAGGGAATGATAACTCAAGGACAAGTTAATAGGGCTGAGCACTTTATACATATATGGCTGAATTGAAAAACCTGTACTCTCTTGGTCCAATGTTCCTAATTTTATGGTGCAAGTCCTTTTTTAAGTGCCTAATTTGTGTAATTATGAAATCTCATTTTTAAATTCAAGAAATTTAAAGTAAAAAGTAAAACCTACCACACATATACATCGAGCCTCCCACTTCCTCCTCCTAAAGGCATTAATACCTGTTTGCTGTTTGGTATATATCATCCCAAACCTTCTGATTTTTATCTCTTTATATAAATATATGAACACAATACAAATATGGAATTTTTGTCATATTTAAAATTTTTTTCAATGTATTTCTTTTGAAAGATAATACATTCACAACATTCAAAAATTGAAGGCATAAAATAGCATACAGTAAAAGTTTCCTTTCCATCCCTGTCCCTCAGCCACCAAATTTCCTTCCTGGAAGCAACAAATCTCAGTTTCATGACTTTATTCTGTACACTTGTAGATTTTATACATATAAAAGCGCTGAAACTTTTTTCACACAAACAGTAGTATTATATACACAGTTTTGTACAAATTTCATTTTCTGTAAGTTGGAGATCGTTCTATTTAGTATAACTTGCAAAGAGTAAGTTTCCTCATTCTCCTTTAAAAATAATGCATGGGGGGCAGCCCGGGTGGCTTAATGGTTTAGTGCTGCCTTCAGCCCAGGGTGTGATCCTGGAGACCTGGAATCGAGTCCCACGTCAGGCTCCCAGCATGGAGCCTGCTTCTCCCTCTGCCTGTGTCTCTGCCTCTCTCTCTCTCTCTCTCTCTCTGTTTCTCATGAATGAATAAATAAAATCCTTTAAAAAAAGCTGCATGTGTTTTCACTGCATCAATGTGGCCTAATTTAACCAAAGTGTTTCTGATGAAAATTTTGTTTCTCCCTCTTTTCTTGCTAAAACAAAGAATGCTGTAAAAAAAAACTTTGTAAATATGTCATTAGCACATGTACTAAATCTATAGGGTCAATTCCTTAAAGTGGGATTGCTAGGCCCAAACATAAGCCTTTTGGTAGATAATGTCAAATTGCCATTAAAAAAAGTTTTGTTTGTTTGTTTATTTTTTGGTGTAGAGTAACCATAAGGTTCCATAAGGCCACTCAGGTGATATTTGGGACAGGGCCACTCAGGTAGTATTCAGGACAGGCATGCCCAAGCATTGCAGGGCAGAACCATGAGGGGAACACTCACATGAGGGGAGCATGGGGATCTTGCTCACACTGAACCTACTGACCTCCCACATGCCAGTCCGCTGCCTCCTTCCTGCTGCTGCTCTACCATGCATCCTCCCATGCATCCTCCATGCTCCATGGATGGGCACCAGAAGTTCCATATGGCCACTCACTGAATTGTGGTTTGCCAAGTCCTGTGATCAGTGCTGGAGTGGTACAGATAGTAAGACTGTTGTTGGAAGGGACCCTGGACATCACCTGCTCCAACACTCCTTTCACAGATCAAGTAAGGTACCTATAAGGGTCTGTTACACTGTCATCTCCCTGGTGGTTTCAGGTCATGGCAGAATAAGGATATTGAAGTTCCATGTATATCATCCCACATATTGGAAGTCTGTTTATCTTTATAGTAAAAATTCATTTGGGGAAGAGAGAAGATCGCAGTTGAGTGGAGGACCCTAAGCTCATTTCAATTCATGAACACAACTATTAAATCATCATAAATGCCCAGAAATAGGCAAGAAGACTGACAGAACAAACTACACAACTAAAGGGAGAGAAGAAGCCATGTCAAAGAAGGTAGGAAGTACAGATACATGGTTTAGGGGAAAAGGGATTGTGGGTACTGTGGAGGGGAGAGAAATGTGGTCATGGAGAAGGGAGAGAGGGAGGGATGGATGGGGGGGAGAGAGAGAGAGAGAGAGAGAGAGAGAGAGAGAGAGAGAGAGAGAGAGAAAGAGAGAGAGAGAGAGAGAGAGAGAGAGAGAGAGAAGAGAGAGAAAAGCACATGGGGGATGCACATGGAGAAGGTTTCCCCAAAGCCATTAGCTTGGAAAATGAGAGAGGCTGAATTTTGTGAGTTCATGCAACCAGCAAGGCTTAGAGCCTGGAGCTTTAAAGGTCAGTGGGCTTGGCTAGGATAGAACCTGAAGGACAACTGCTGCTTTTGGAGAGAAGGCAGGCAAACAAACCAGGATTAGACAGCATGGAAACAATGATCTGAAGAACACCTGGGATACACAAGGGGGAGATTATTTGCTCGTCAGGGTTCATGGAGACTCCTCCCCAGGAACAAAGGAGCTGGATGGTGCCATTTCCCTCCTCCTCCCCTTAGCATAAACACAAAGCCACATACAGGAAGCAGTGCAAAATCGACACTGGCTGCCTAACGTTCTTACACCAAGCCCCTCACCCTTGCACTCTGGTGGGACTGCCTTTATCAGTCATGTTTGCCTTAGTCCCAACAGAGTGGGCCCCTCCCCAAAAGACCAGAACAAATTCCTGACCATGCCACATGTCCTGACCAGAGAGTTCTGCAGGACTTCAGTCCTGGCAGAAGATGTGTCAGGTTTCATTTCATAAGCAGACAAGAACACATCTAGTTAAAACTCGCCACATTCAGACCAGGAGCCAAACACTGCACACAGCAGGCAGAGAGTATCTACAGACTGGCTTGAAGGAAGTGCAGGCAAAATACAACAGCAGAAAACAAGCAGCACACACCAGAGACATTCCCTGAAGTGTCAGGCCCTTTGTAATACATGAACTATTATTTATAAGGCCATTACTTTTAGGACCAGGAGACATAACTTATTTTTCTAACACAGAGAAGAAGGCAGAGACTCCAAGACAGATGACTGTATCCTAAATGAAAGAACAATAAAAGGCCATGGCCAGAGATGTAGGTAAAACATAAGTAACATGCCTGATGGAGAACTTAAAGTAACGATCATAAGGATACTCACTGGGCTTGAGAAAGGAATAGAAGACGTCAGTGAGATCCTTACTACAGAGATCTCAGAGTTAAAAAAGAATCAATAAAAATGAAGAGTGCAATAAATAAGGTTGGAAACAGGCTTGATGCAATGAGCAGCAGGCTAGAAGAAATAGAGGAATGAATTAGCAGCATAGAACAAAATAATGGAAATAATGAAGCTGAACAAAGGACAGAGAAACTTATGCAAAATGAGAATAGACAGGGAATTCAGTGACTCCATCAAACATAATAACATTCACATTATAGGAGTCAAAGAAGAAGAGAGAGAAAAGGGGGCAGAAAGTGTACTTGAGAAAATAATGGCTGAAATCTTCCCAAATCTGGAGAAGAAATAGATATTCAGATTCAGGTGGCATTGAGAACTCCCATCAAAATCAATAAAAGCAGGCCAGTGTATATTTGCAAAATATAGCACTAAAGAAAAAAAATCTTAAAAGCAACAAGACAAAAAAAAAGTCCTTAACTGACACGGGAAGACCCATAAGGCCAGCTGGAGACTTCTCAACAGAAACTTGGTAAGCCAGAAAAGAATGGGATGATATGTTCAAAGTGCCAAATGGGAAAAGTCTGCAACCAAGAATATTCTATACAGCACAGTTATCATTCAGAATAGAAGGAGAGATAAAGAGTTTCACAGACAAAGAAAAACTAAAGGAATTTTTCACATCAAATCTGCCCTGCAAGAAATATTAAAGGGGACTCTTTGAGGTCAAAGAAGAAAACAAAAGGGACAAAGACAAGAAAGGACCGAGAAATTACCAGAATCAGTGACAAAACAGCTAATAAAATGGAACTAAATATATATCTACCAATAATTACTTTATAAATGAACTAAATGCTGAATAAAAAAGACATAGGGTGTCAGAGTGGATGAAAAAACAAGACCCATCTATCTATATGTTGCAA